CAGTGTGCGGGGCTGCACGTGGGGTGTCTCTGCTCCGTGTGCCCCCACGGGGAAAGGTCCCTCCATGGCAGGACAGACCCCCGAGATGTGGTTTGGTGTGAAGGGGAGCTGGGAGGGCGGTGGGCTGGAGGGTGGGAGAGAAGCATCTGGGGCAGAGGAGAGTGAGGGTGGCCTGGGGCCAGCGCTCCCCACCACGGCACTCGCCTCTCTCCAGCGTGGCTCAGACGGTCCCAGTCGGGTCCCCAGGCCACAGACCGGGGTCGTCCACTCCGCCGGTCCTCGAAGCAGACCTGGGAGCACGGGAAGCCTGAGAGAGAGCCTGGGGGGCTGGGAGTGCAGAGCCAGCAGTGCCCCCTCTTCCCAGCCCTGCTTTTGGGCCAGTGCCAGCCCCCCCCAGCAGTGCTGCCCCCCAGGCAGGCAGGGACCCCAAGGACACAGTGCCCCTCACTCTGTTGCTGCTGGAGCCCCAGCCCCATCGGGCCATTCCCTGCTGCCCCAGACCTCCGTTGGCCTGTCCCAGTGTCACCCGCAGGTGCCACGCACCATTGGTGTGGCCCCGGCTGCGCCTCCCCGCGCTCATGCCGCCAGCACTCACCATCTCCCGCACCCCGTACTGGCTTTCCACCTTGGCCCGCAGCTGCACGAAGCACTGCTCCATGCGCTCGTGGAAGGGCCGCAGGTCCTCTGTCACCTTCCGCCCGTGGATCCGGATCCCCTCTGCCAGCAGCGGGGTCTGAGGGAGAACGGGGATGGGTCAGCCTGGGCTTGCGGGGCCCCCCGGGACAGGGACACGGGGCACTCAGTGCCCTCGAGCAGCTGCCCCCCCTCCAGCTGCCGGGCAGATGCAGGGGGCTCTACCTGCCAGGCGATCAGGTCCTTCAGCTTCTCGATGTTCCCCTTGTCCTCAGGGTGCTCCTGCAGGTACGAATCCTGGAAAAAGGCCTGGGACAGCCCCCCCTCAGTCCTGCTGACGGGCTGGCTCGGCTCCGTGCAGGCAGGGGATGGAGCGAAGCACTGCTAGGGGCAGTCGCCAGCCCCAGGCAGCCCCCGCACGTCCTCACCGTTTCGTACTTGGCGAAGCCACCCATGACTGCAGGGTCCACGATGCCGTTGAGCAGCATGGAGAGTGGGTTGATGGGCAGGCTGGGGTCGTTCTGGTGCCGGTTGATCTCGCTCATAATTTTCTCATTTGTTTTCATCATGGTCTCAATGGCGTTTTCCAGTGGGGAGATGCTGGTCTGTGCCCGGGGAGGGAGGGTCAGCACCCGCTGGCCCAGCAGCCTGCCTGTCCTGGGCAGGGTGTCACCCCTGGCACCGGCTGCCTGGAGCCCTGCAAGTGCTTGTCCCTGGCCCCGAGCAGAGGCCGCAGGCAGGCACGAGCTGCTGGGAAACCTGGGTAAGCGTTGTGGCTTGGGGGGGCAGCTGTGCAGCAGCGGCCACAGCAGACACAGGCACGTGTGGCCACGCTGGTGCAGTTCTGTGCAGCACAGCGGCCCCGTGACAGCCCACAGCCTTTCGTGCGTCTCTGCTGCTGCAGCACCTGAGGAACCCCAGACTCCGGCCGAGCAGGTCCCTGACGGAGGCATAAAGCCCCTTCGCAGAGCTGCTGCCGGCAGCACCGGGGTCGCCGTGCTCCGCTGATGCTCCTCCGGTGCCTCTGCCCTACCCGCGTGTGGTCTCCTGCTTCCCAGGGAGGAGATGTGCGTCCTGGGGGCTGAGCCCCACAGACCAGTCCCTGTAGCTGGGTTGATGCTACTGGCACCAGCTGACAGAGGCTGGAGGTGCCCCGAGTGCCAGGGGTCTCCGTGCTGGGGACAGCGTTCCCGCCTGGCGCAGGCCTGTGGTCAGCGCTGGCGCTGGGGCAGTGGGGGCCCGGGCGATGCTGGGGGGGGTTATTCCCCACTGCTGGAGCTGGGCTCTGAGCTCGCAGGGGGCAGGGGCTGCTCTCACACCCCGCTCTGCAGGCACAGGGTGCACGAGGGAGCTGAGGCTGCTCTGCCACAGGCGCTGCCCCGGGGGGCCGCAGGGACTTGGCAGCTAGCGGGGAGCCGCGGGGTTTGGGTGGGCTGGATCGGGCTTGCACTGGGCACAGAGCTGCCGGGGCTGGGGCTGGGCTGGGGCTGGGTCAGGACACACTCTCCCCGCCCTGGCTCGAGCTCAGGAAGCGCGGAAAGGGTTGGGGGCAGCGCACCCGCCTGCATCTGGGGTTTGGGATGCTGCTTGGGGCAGGGATGCCCCGGGAGGGCCCCGCTCCCCCCACATCCCCTCCTCACCGTGGTGGTGGAGGTCACCACGAACCAGCGCAGGATGCCAGGCAGGGGGTAGGCTGTCACGAAGGTCGTCCGCTCGATCCACATGGTCTGTGGGGAGGGCAGGAGGGTGACTTGCCCTCTGACCTGTCACCTGGGGACACCCCTGCCTGCCCTGTGGGGCAGGGGGTCCCACCTCCCCTTCCCATGGGCACGGGACTGCCACCTTCCCCATCCCAGCACTGGGAGAACCCCTGTCTCTGCTGTGTCCTTCCTCTAGACCCCCCACTCCCCCGTCCCTCCCCGCCGGGTGTCCCATCAGCTCTCACTGCAAATTCATTGTCTGGATCCTTTGGGCCTTTCTTGAAGGGCCGCGAGTAGCTGAACTTCTGGATGTGGTTGGCTTTATAGAAACTGTGGGGGAGGGAGGGGGGCAGAGCATGGGAGAGGTCCCCCCCATTGCGTCCCCCCCGGGAGCAGAGCGGGTACGCCCTGTCCGCCCCCAGGCACTCACTTGGTGATCTGCTCCGGGATGCTCCGGTCCTTGAACCGGAGCTTGGCCTCCTCCACCGGCTGCACGGTGAAACACTGGATGTCTGCGGGAGTGAAGGAGCCGCGGGCACAGACAGTGGGGACAGGGGCTGCGGGGGAGAGGGGCCCCGGGGCTCAGAGGGTGAGAGCCCCAGGGGTGCAGGGACCCACGCGGGGAGTGACGGCAGAGGGGACGGGCCGCCCTCCAGCCCCGTCCCCGCACTCGGAGGATACACTGCCCCGGGGAGCCCGTGATGTCCTGGCTGGGCGGGGATGTGCTCTTCAGCTTCTCGGCGTTGGGGAAGGGGCTCAGCAGCCGCATCTCGAAATCCTCCCGCCGCTCGTACTCCTTGCCCCGGTAAATGAAGACCTTGTTCTGTGGGGGAGGAAGATGTCAGCCTGTCCCAGCGCGCTGCGGAGCGGGGTGGGGGGAGCCCCGGGGCGTCAGGGGTGCTGGTGCTGAGGCTGAGCCCTTTGCTGAGCCGGAGAACCCCCTCTCAGAAAAAGTATTTCCCCAAACCCAGCAACTGGAGGAAAAAGTAATTAAAGGGCGGGCTGGCTTGGGCAGCGAGGGCTCTGGAGTGAAGGCCTCTGGCCAGGCACGGAGCGACTGGGCTCTGCGGTCAGGGGATACAGAAACCACCCAGGAGACAGCGAGGAGCCCTTGGAACCCACCCTGACCTCTCTGAGAATGACGCCACCCTCCCAGTGGCTGTAACGGCAGGGTAGGAAACCAAGGACCAACACTTGGGATGGAAGAAGCCCACCGAGCATGGCAGCTTATATCCGAGGGGGTTAAAACCCCACAGAGTGTAATGGGGGTGAAGCACTTTGCTCTCATCCAGACGGACAAGCCCCGCTCCCGCTGGTGGACACCAGGAGCCTGTTTGCCAGCAGAGGGAAAGGGAGCAGTGCTGAGTCCCTGCCTCCAGCACCGACTGCAGGGACGGGGAGAGAGTCTGTGGGGAGAGGGTTGGCAGGGAGAGGGTCGCAGGGAGAGGGTTGGCAGGGCTCCTGCAGCGACCCTGGAGGTACCCAAATCTGTCCCTAAATAGCACAGACCCATCTCTGCAGGACAGGTACAACACAACCCACACCTGCCCCCACAGCCCAGACACGAGGGCGTCAGCACCACCTCAGTGAGGGGCCCTGGCCGTGGGGTCAGCGCGGGGGGTCGGCTCAGGGGGATCCACCCTGAGACGGCCACGGCCACGTGCCTGTGGCTGGCGCGGGGCGGTTGGAGCTCCTACCCGGAGGAAGGTGGGGAAGCCCTGCCCGTAGTAGCCCACGGCGAAATAGTCCGGGCTGGGCCGCAGCACTTTCAGGATCTTCTCGTAGAACTTGGCTTCTCGCTGCTGCAGGGCGAGAGGGGCAGGAGTGGGGACAGGGCGGGGCCCTGCCATGGGACGGGAGCCCTGTGGCCCCCCCGGCTCACGGCCCCCAGCCCAGCTGAGCACTCACCAGGATGTCACTCAGCATCTCGTAGTCGAAGACTTCGCTCTCGTACTGCTCTGCCAGCTCCTTGCAGATGTGGATGGCCTCCTCCCACATCTGCGGGAGACGGGGCCAGGGCAGGTGCCCCGTGGCGTGGGCTGAGCTGGGGGCAGGGGGGGAACTGGGGGCTTCCAGAAGAGACTGGCCCCATCTGTGGGGGCACCCGCACCCCTGCTCCTGAGTGAGGGGCCAGGGCTCTCCCTGTGCAGCTGCGGATCCTACTGGGCAGCAGCGGATGGGAACAGAGTGGGGTGGTGTGGGATGGGATGGGATGGGATGGGATGGGGTGGG